AAACAATTTGGAAGTGGGAAGGACCAAATAGGATTATATATTTTATTTGGATTTTGAGTAATCTATAAATATTTAAAAGACATTTAAGCTTAAATGATCTATATCCTATATGTCTACATGAATTTGAATCGAACTATTCATGTGCTTTGTGATTGTATTAAAGCAAGACAGATATGGTTAGTCTTAGTCCCTGAAAGTTTTACTGACAAAATTATTTAACTGTGACTTGTAGCTTTCGTTGGTGGTACATTTGGTAAATCCCCCATCGGCTTATTGGTCTTCTATTTGTGCAGTTGGTTGCTGGCTATTGTCGATAATAATAAATTATCTACCATAACAATTATATGGAATTTAAAAAGTTGGGATACTAAAATATTTGTATGATTATTTTTTAGTACAAATTAAAAGGTTGTTATTTAGTTTAGGAACAAGTTAAGGATTTTTTTCAAAAGTTTTAAATCTATAGTCTATAATGTATTAAAAATGTATATATTTTTTAATATTTTTACACCATTTTATCCATTGTCAAAATTTAAATTAACAAAATATGTCATTAACAATGTTTAATTAATTATTAACAGTAATGAATATATGAAATGTAAAAAGGTGGACTGTGAAAAGATTTGTCGCTCATTAATTTAAAGGTTTTGTCATTTAATTTTAATTAATATTATAATTTCATATGTTATGGAATTTAAAAAATTTGGTAACTTTTTTCCAATCTCTACTATAAAAACGTGTTTTCTTCCACAATTTCTTCATCAACATTTGAACTTCATTTTTTTTCTTATTATTAGTATCTTTCAATTTTTTTTAAATAGTCTATCTCGTTGTCTAGGTCTCTTTAATCTTGAAATTTGAACTATACCTCATATCCAGATCAAGATGATACAATTTCACTTTCATGTAGTTTAACAATGATGTTTTTTTTCCAACTATGAGGATAGACAAATTATATTTTAAAAAATGTGTATATTTTTAGATTTTTAGATTTTTTGTTATTTTTAGATTTTTAGACTGAGTGGAGTGACTCCAACCAGTCTCACTTTGTCTCTGAGTGAGTAAGGGAACAATTTGCCGCAGCACTTCTTTGTTGCATTCTTCATCCTTAAACTAATTGCAAAATCCCATGAAAACTTCATATGCGAATGCGGGTCCTTCGAAGGATGTCCGTGGAATTGGCCCACTGTTTGGAGCATCTTAAACATGACTGACTTAATTGCATCCCTTGAGTCTTTATTTGCTCTTAAAACTGTTTATTAAGCTTTGTCTCATTCTTATTCACATGCTGCAATGTTGGAGGAAATGACTGCCTTAGATGACAGTGGTACTTGAGATTTAATTTATTTTCCTATGGGAAAGAAGTTTATCAATTGTAAATGGGTGATTGCTATTATAGTTAATCCTAATGGATCACCCACCCGGTTGGAAGCTCGTCTTTGTTGCTAAAGGCTATGTATAGACTTATTGAATTGATTATGCTGATACTTTTTCTACAATTGCTAAATTCGCTTTTGTCGTGTTATTTAATTTTCATGCATCAGCTTGATATTAAAAATGTATTCCTACATGGTGATCTTTATGAAGAAATGTATGTGGAGAAATCATTAGGTTTTGATGCTTAGAGGGAGAATAGAAAGGTATGTCACCTTCATAAACCCTTGTATAGGTTAAAACAAAGTCTGAGAGCATATGGTTTGGAAAAATAAGTGAGGTGATTCAGGACTTTAGAATGAAGAAGAGTATGTCAAATATCTTATCTTTTATAAAAAATATAAGTGTGATGTCATCTTACTAATTGTATATGTTGATAATATTGTTATTACTGACAATGATATGTCATGCATTCTATCTCTCAAGACTTTGTTTTCATAGTCAATTCCACACTAAAAATTTTAGAATGTTGAAATAGTTCTTTGGAAATCCTTTTATGAGAGAAAATATGTACTTGACTTGTTAACTGTGATAGAAAAGTTAGGTGCTAAGCCACGTAATAACTGATGATGCCTAATTTACAACTTAAAAAGGAAAGGAGTTGCTAGAAGATCCTAAAGAGGTATAGAAGATTAGTAAGAAAGCTAAATTATCATACAATGACTAGGCCAGACATAACTTATGAGTTCTCCTATGGTTGATCATTGGACGGCATTGAAACATATTCTATGTTATTTGGAAGGTGCTCATGGTCATCTTAATATTCAATATTTTTCAAAAGTTGATTGGGTAGGATCTAAGAAAGATAGAAGATCAACTTTAGGAGTGTATTTGATACGCGATAACCCAAGCGTATTGAGCTACTCGAGCCACAAGCCACTTGAATCCAATCGTAGAGATAGTTCAACTCGAAAGGGTAAGAGTTAAATGGATTACCTTTCAGTCATTACCTTGAGCAGACAGAATACTCACTATGCTCGAGGTCGGAAACACTCCACGAGTTTGATGACCAATCAAACAAGCATGCTCCGAGGGGGTCAAATACGAAAGCCTAAGTTCAACCACACAAAAAAATTCGACATTTGGGAAGGGTTTTGCACAGGATAAAGGGGAAAAACACACTCGGTTTTATCCAATTCAAAATATCTGAGATGTTCCAAACAATGGATGGTACACGCCTATATATAGGCCAAGACCCTTGGCCTTTTAAGGAAATAACAAAAATTAAAAAGAAAATAAAAATTGATAATTTTCTAAAAGTTGCTAAACTTGCCTAAAGTTGGAATCTAGAATTGTCAAATTGAAAATAAATAAAAACAAATTCAAATTCAAATGAAATCCCATCGAATAATCCAAAATCAAATTCTCTTTTGTTCGTTAAATTGAATATTTTCCATAATTACGTAATCTCTTCCATTGTCTTGTAGCAGCACCTACCAAGATATTATATTTATAAGTATAGAAGACGAAAATGAGGAACACAAACAACACTCCCAATCAAATAGATTACTCTAAGCAGAGAGATTTCTTGTATGGTAAGGTATTATTCTTGAACCATGTTTAGTACTTACGCGAATGAGGATCAAAATTTTCTTTGTGGTTGATAATATTGGTCGCTTTTTATAAAATATTAAGAATTTATATTTAATCTAGTAAAATATAGTTTATTGTTAATAAATTACATAATATATATATTTTTTCCATAAATTATTTTTCTTCTAATAAAGAAACCAGATTAACTCTTTTCTTAGTTGATGTGGTTTTATTATAAAAATATTACAAACTTCCAATTATTTAAATGTAATTTGTTATTATATGTTAATATCAACAAAATTTATAAAATATGATTCATTATTATGAAATAACATAACTATAAAATTGCATAATATTTAATATCAACAATTATTCTTACAATAAACAGATATATTAATCGTTTAATTTTTAGTTGCTGCGATTTTTTATTTGTTATTAGTAAATAGATTTGTTGAAATACAAACTCATAACCTAAAAATATATCAATAAAATAAGTTAAACAATATTAGCCATCATTGTTTTTAATAACAAATTTTAATAATATATGATTTAACTATTCTATTTCTGATTTGTTAGGGATATTCTTGATGCTGATTTATGGGCGAGTGCCACGTGAGTGTCACGTTTGCTTTTGTCTCCTAGTTCTGGTTTTACATGTATGTAGAAATCTAGTATCGGTGTAGTATTCTGCCAGATGCACTCTGATGCCTAAGTTATTACTTAAGATCGAAGCAAACAAGTATGGAGCAAGTATAGTAATTGCAAGAATCTCAATGAAAGTCTGCTTGGTGTGAGTGTGGAAAACCCATATAGCTTTGCATAGGAGTACTTGCATACCTAAATTAGGGTTTGTGTGAATTTTATATATGGAGAGAGATTGAAAAGGCCTAAGGGAGGTGTAGAGACCTCTCTTGACATTACAAGTCCTTATGTCATTCCAGAGAGGTGCAGCAGCATCTGGAATACCTGCCTAACACTCGGTCAGACACGCTGCTATTGAGTTTGTCAATATCTCTAACCACATTTGAGGGTTCATACGTTAGGTTTGGCTTTCCCTCTCTAGTGCCGTCAACATTGGTCTAGTGCACTTTGAATGCCATCTCCATGGGTCAGTGGAGTTCCCCGTGTTTGCACAAGCTGGGTTCCACATAACAATACTTATCCCTCAAACCAAGTATGGAAGGTGTGCTTTGGTAGTTATTATTACAAGTTGAAACAAAATCTTCTATTTTAGAAAATTAATTCTCACAAATATATAATAAAAATTATGATTTTTTTTTTTGTTTTTAATACTTTACAGTAAAATTTATATAATCTTACATTCAACACATTGTTTCTGACAAGTGTATCTAAAATTTAGAAAAAAAAAAGAAGATATTTTAAGAGGTAGATTATAAGATAAACAATATTGTTGGGGGAAAAATATGACCTTGACCTCATATTTTGCCTGCTCAACGGAAGGCACGGGAGCTGACCTTTGAAGAAGAGCCAAGCTTGAGCATCCAACGTCTTTCATTTCCATGTCGATGATAAATTTTAGGATCATTTCTATGTATTGAGATTTGAGGTCTTTTCTTCATTAAGTTTTAAGTTTTTTATTTTTTAAGTTAATTTCAAAGGTTAGATTTAATTTTATGTTATTTTGTCTTTTAATTTTCAGTTTTATGACTAGTAAGTCTTTAGGTTTTAAATGTTGTTTTAAGTTTTATCTTGGTTACAAAATAGGTCCAAGTATTGTACCTATACAAGGGTGAACTCCCATGAGAAGTTTGTATTACCAACATTGTACTATTTCATTTGTTTATTCACCATTTTTAATCACTTCAATTTGACGTTGATTAATTTCTCTTCTATTGAATCCTACTCTCTCACATTTCATATTTCCTCATTGTTCATCAAACACTGAGATTTTTTCTATTGCTTCCGCATTATTTTTTATCACTTTCATTTTCTCAACAATGGTATCAAAGTCTTAGATTTAAAGGCCTGTGATTTTATTTTGAGGGAGAGAAATTCCAATTTCTTATTTGATAATGTCTTCAAATTTTTGTGTTACCTCTCCTCCACGATTTAGTGGTGAAAACTACCAATTTTGGGGTGTTAAAATGCAATCCTATCTCAAAGCACTTGGCCTTTGGGAACTAGTTTCAACAGATGTCGATCTTGAGCCATTGGGAGAAAATCTGACATTGAATCGTATCGGATTACATGAAGAGAAGAAGTTAAAGCCTAAAGGTTTATCTATAATTCATGCTTCTTTATCTAATCCTATATTTGCTAAAATTATTGATTGTAAAACGGCAAAAGAAGCTTTGGATAAATTACAGGAGGAATTTGAAGGAAGTGGAGAGTTTGAGATGCTCAAGATGAAAGATTCAGATTCTGTGATGGACTACACAACTAAAGTGATGACCATTGTGAATCAAATTAGACTAGGTGGTGAAAATTTTCAAGATCAAAGAGTTGTAGAGAAAATAATGGTCAGTGTTCCTAGCAAATTTGAATCAAAGATCTCAGATATAGAGGAGTCTTCTAATTTGACTACTCTTTCTATAGCTGAGTTAATTAGCAAGTTATGAGCCCAAGAACAGAGGGATACAATTCGTAACAAGGACCATGTTGAAGGTGCCTTTAATGCCAAGTTCAAAGGCAAGAAACCTGCTGCATAAGATGATAAAAAATCAACCAAATATCGGGGGAGCAAGGGAAAAGGAGGAGCGTCAAAGAATGGTAAATTTCTTCCTTGCCGTTTTTGTAAACAGACCAACCATACTGAGAAAGAATGTTGTTACAAAAACAAATAAGTCTTCCATTATGACTATTGCAACAAGGATGGTCATACGGACAAATTTTGTTATGCCAAACAAAACCAAATCCAATATCCCCAGCAACAATCAAATTGTGCAGACAAGAATCAGGAAACAAATTTGTTGTTTATGACTTCTCATACAAGTGACAACGAGTCAACCTCATGGCTAATTGACAGGGGATCATGCACCACCCATATGGCCAAAGATATCAATATTTTTAGCCAGATTGACAGATCTATACAGTCTAAGGTTGTTCTTTAACATGGTGAGACAGTGCTAGCTGAAGGTAAAGGTACTGTCGTCATGCAAACTAAGCAAGGTGAAAAGATAATATCAAATGTTTCATATGTTCCAAGATTATCTCAAAACTTGCTTAGTATTGCTCAATTGTTGCATAATAATTTTTCTGTGGTTTTTAAAGATCAAGATTGAGTAATTTACGACCCTCATGGAGCAGAGATTGCAAGGGTCAAAATGATTGGTAATGCTTTCTTTTTGAATGGTGACTCACTATGTCATCATGCTCTAAATGCCAAAGTGGAAAAAAGCAGAAAATGGCATTATCGCTTTGTTTACTACAACATAAAAGCTTTGTAAATTTTGCATTCTTCTAACATGGTTGATGATTTAACAACTTTGTCTCATTTGATCAAATTTGTGAAAGTTGCCAAGAAGTGAAAATGCACCGTCTAACTTTTCCAAAAGGTGGCAGTTTTAGAGCCAAAGAAAAGCTCAAATTGGTGCATAGCGATGTTTTCGGGCCCATGTGTAAAGTATCTATTGGAAATAATAAATACTTTATTCTATTTATTGATATTTTACCAGTATCACTTGGATGTATTTTTTGATCAAGAGAACTCAAGTTTATGAAAATTTCAATAAGTTTGTGATTCTGGTTGACATTGAGAGTGATTTCAAGCTCAAAACCTTTAGAATGACATCTGGTTTTCATTAGGAATTCAAGTAAACAAGAAATTGTGGCTCAGTCTACTGTGGAAGTTGAATATATTTCAGCTGCAAATCATGCAATATGGCTTCAAAAATTGCTTTATGATTTTGGATTTAAACTAGAGGAACCTATAAAATTACTTTGTGATAACAAGTGTGCCAGTGTCATCAATGTGGTACAACATGGAATAACGAAGCACATCAAAGTCAAAATTTTATTTATTGAGGGGAGTAGTGAAAGAAAGAGAAAGAAGGTGAAAACATGTTCACTTTATAGTTCTGAACAACTCGTTGACCTTCTCATAAAATCTTTGCCACATAGACAATTTGTGTTTCTAGGTGTGACAAATGAAAAAACCTGAAGGAGGGGTGTTGAGATCTGAGGTTTTTTCTTCATTAAGTTTTAAGTTTTTCATTTTTTAAGTTGCTTTCTTTAAAGGTTAATTTTATGTTATTTTGTCTTTTAATTTTCAGTTTTACGACTAGTAAGTTTTAAGTTTTAAATGTTGTTTTAAGTTTTATCTTGGTTACAAAAAAGGTCCAAGTATTGTACCTATATAAGGGTGAACTTCCATTGGAAGTTTGTATCACTATTGTTTATTTAGAATATTGAATCACTTCAATTTTAAGTTGATTAATTTCTCTTCTATTGAATTCTACTCTCTCACATTTCATATTTCTTCATTGTTCATCAAATATTGAGATTTTTTCTATTGCTTCTGCATTATTTTTTATCACTTTCATTTTCTTATAGTCCTTCCTATTAAATCTAATGTAACGACGATCTGTTAAAAAAATTCCTACCTTACTCAGATGAAATTGAGTTGGAAGTTTCTGAAGGAAAATAGAGTAGGTTGCACTCGACCACGTTGGCATCAGTAATCAAGGTACTCACACGTCGACCATTCTTGGAAGCCTCTCAAAAATGATGAATGTGAAAGGATGTGAATCCCGGAGCGGAAGCGGACCATCGTTCTTGATTTTTGAGAAACAAAACCAAAACTTACAAAATTGAAAACACAGGGGAAAAACTTGTTTTTCCTTACCTTTGAAGAACACTTCTTCAATTTGATTTCCTACGAACACCACCAGAGAATCTTCCTTGCTATCCTCTTAGGTCTCGGGATCGTGCTTGTGGGAGCACTGTTTGAATGAGAGGGAAAAATCAGAGAGAGAGTTGGAGAGAGATTGATTCTTGGGAGTTCTGTTTTTTTTTTCTGTCGTTTTTTTTTTTCTGCAAACACTTCTACATACTAAAAACCAAATGACGTGGGGAGTTATCCCACGTCATTAAACTCCCCACTCCCCTGCTAAAATGCACGGAAGTTACTTGTTAATTAATATAATTAATATATATATTAAATAATTATTAATCAAATTAATAATTAAATAATATTAATTAATTAATTAATTAAATGTAATATTAAATAATTAACAATTAATTATTTAATATTTAATTAAATATCTCATATTTAATTAAACCATATTCATCTTTATGTGCATTAATTTATAACCTATAGTTTTCATATGAATCATATTCATATTAATTTTATTTGAATCTCATTCAAATAATGTCTCTCATAATGTATAGTTTTTAATTTAGAATTAACTATATATTATAATGTATCAATATACATATAATCCCTTAAGTAGTTTGAATAGTTCAAATTCTTCCAAAACCTTGATCCTCGTTTTACCCGTTATAAGCTAGCAAGGGGACCTAATGGACCTACAGATCAGAAGCTCCAACGATACAAAATTAATTGGTCAAACTCATTTACCGAGTTAATTAACATTCGTTAACTACGGGTTACTCCACTAAAGACCTGCAGTTGCACTCTTCTCGTTGTAGAATGTTTTCGTGTCCACGGATATACGACCATAAATGACAAGTCAATCCTTCACGAGTGCTCGTAACTCAAGTTGGGTCAAACTACCATTTTACCCCTGAGTTACATCTTACTCCTTAAATACCACTGCTCTTCTAATGAACAACCCGGTTATGGTTCGACATATAACCGAAAGTCCCTCTCGGGCCAATGAGAGGGTGGAGCCCCTTGTTCAAGTCCCGGAGTCAGCATTTAAGAGAACACTCATCTACTCCCTTAAAGTCGGGAAGGAGTGAATTCCATCTTGTGATGTTATGTTCCCAGCTCCCTACTCGGTCTCGTCCCCAAAATGGTAGGAATATTGAGTCGGCAACTTGGGCCACTCTCACCCATACAGATTAAAGGACGAGCCCTCACGGGAAGGAGTCCATAACTCACTCAGGATTGAGAATGAGTTGCCTGGTCATCCTAAGAAACAACAATCTATTAGTTAATGGTGTTACATCTAAAGATTGGCTATTTCGTGTCCGATTTTATACAAACTCATTGTATAGAATACCCCTACTCGCATGTCTCCACACGAACGACCTGGATCGAGTCGTCTATAACCTTTACAGAGTGAGCCGTATCCATAGTGTTGCCAAGATAAGGTAGCCAGCCTTATACATATACTATAGACCCTTTAGGTTATTAACGGGACATTATCCACTTGTATATCAGGGGTATATCAAACATATATCTCGTATATTAGAGGTATATCAAATATATACCCAATATATCAAGTATATGCCCAGTACATATACTATCCCGATTACATAAAACAACCTTGGATGTTTAGTTTATTGGATTTTAGACAATGCAATACTATGAATTCAACAACAGATTTATTGAATATAATGAATATACATTTGTTTTTACACAAAATACAAACTATAAGTTTAGGGCAACACACCTAACAGAATGTAGAAGCAAGTCTATTTGGTCAATAATGAGCATTGAAATATAAAATGAATAAAGTAAGTTCAAACAGCAAAAGAAAGTAACAATGCATAGCTAACCCACATCGACCTAACATAAATTCCCAAAGCTATAAGAGATGTTAAAGAACAACTAATTGTCCCTATTAGTGACGAGTTAATCCTCATAAACGTAAAGCCATTGATCCTTCCTTTTTTTTTTTTAATGGATGAAGGGCCCCTAACTATTGCTCCTATACGTCGCCTAGCGCAAAGGTAAAAGTTGTTCTTCTTGGGATGAAGTTTCTTAGCTTCGTCAGTGGCGAGAACTGACCTACAGTTAAAATGATGGAATACTTCTCACTTCTACATGTCATCCACTAAATTATATACAAACCAAATAGCACACCCCACCAATTGAGAGACAGCTAAGCTAGTCCTAAATTTACTTCTACCAATAACTCTTTGGGCAAAAGGAAGAAAGGGCAACCTAATGTTGGGTTTGTAAGGAGAGTGCAAACAAAGTTCCACATTGACTAGGGAAGGGAATGATCATGGGTATATAAGAGAGGACAATTATCTCCATTGGTATGACGCATTTTGGGTAGAACCAAAAGTAAAGTCGTGAGGGTTATGACCAAAGCGGACAATATCATACCATTATGGAGATACTCGGGATACTTGGGGTACCGTTATCCTTAAATAGTGGTATCAGAGCCATGATCTAAAAATTAGCTGTGTCAGTGAAATCCTCGGGTGTACCGTTATCCTTAAATAGTGGTATCAGAGCCATGATCTAAAAATTAGCTGTGTCAGTGAAATCCTCGGGTGTCAAACAAAGAAGTGGTGAACCTCAGAAGGTGTAGTCATGGCGTAATTTGTGGGTGTGCTCTATCAAGGTATGGGGTAAGCCTTGCATAAGAGCAAGCTCTCGTTCAGATCCAAGAGTAGACGAGTGAGTGACTACTTGAGGGGGGCTCGGTGGTACTTTGTTCGAGGGGAGGATTGTTGGGTTTGTAAGGAAACTGTAAACAAA